AATTCAAACGGAAACTGAATAATGAACAACAACAACAACAACAACAACAACAACAACAACAACAACAACAACAACAACAACAACAACAACAACAACAACAACAACAACAACAACAACAACAACAACAACAACAACAACAACAACAAATGTGTAAACAACCAACTGTATGCGTAAACAACTATACGAAAGTGGAATACGTGATCACCCGCACCGTCGGTCTGTCCGTACCTCTATGCATCTATTCATGCATCCGTCCGTTTGCGCGTCCTGCAATCCGTTAATCCGAATATACGTCCACCTGTCCATCCATCCGTCCGCCCGTGCGTGCGTCCGTCCATCCATCTGTCCATCCTTTATAATAGTCGGCGACTTCAACGTAGACATTATGAACCTTATGACCTATAGCTTCGCAGATCTCGAAATAAAATTGCCCCGCCACGGTGGTCTAGTGGCTAAGGTACTCGGATGCTCACCAGCAGGTCGCGGGATCGAATCCCGGCTGCGGTGGCTGCATTGCCAATGGAGGCGGAAATGTTGCAGGCCCGTGTGCTCAGATTTGGGTGCACGTTAAAAGAACCTCAGGTGGTCAAAGTTTCCGGAGCCCACCACTACGGCGTCTCTCATAATCATATGGTGGTTTTGGGACGTTAAGGCCCACATATAAATCATCAATCGAATTGAAATTAGCCATGTATGTTCGCACCGTTATTTGGTTTATGTAAACTATCAGTCACCTTCAGTGCACTGCGCTTAACCAGAGCTCATCTTAAGCCGACGTGATGGCTGTAGCGTAGGAGTACACACGTAATGTTTATCAAATTGGGTAGCCGTCACTTCATCCCCAATTGACGCTTCGCGAGCATTGGGGTTTATTTGAAAAGCAGTTGCTAGACCTGGTGTAGGGCTGTTATAGAATACTTGGTTGCCACGCAGAATGCTGGTCTTCGATTCCACTGCGACTCTAACATTTGTTCTTTGAATTTGTCGGGTCAGCGCAGCTGATATCAGCTTTTTCTTAATGCTCACGCGTTAGGATCACCCTCGTGTTCTCACCGTTCCCAGGTAGTTATTGTCAATCACATGTGGCACCTACCCGCATACCAGTGGCACATACCCGCACGCGGGTATGCGCGCGTGTCTGGCGGGCAGTGTGTGACAACGTACGCGACGGGATTGTGACATCATTGATGTCATGACCAGCTAGTCATATTTGTGAGACAATCTTACCGTACCATAATAATTTTGGTTTATACCAAGTTAAAAAGGTCATCATGAGAGCTCCCAGACAAAGGCGGCTAGATAGATATCTAGATAGATGCATACGTAGAAACGCCTGAAGTGCTGGCAGTACGCCAAGAAATGCTTTGCATATAATACTGAGTAGGGCATACGGGTGTGCTTGTTTCCTTTGAGCCTTTAGCATCTCTCCTGTTTCAGTCTTTTATACGTTTTGTTCACTACATCGGCGATTTCGCGTATAATATTGGGAATTTCGAAGTGCTCGCTATTACGTCATGATACATGGTCTTGCATGGCTGTAAGCTTGTTGACGTTCATGTTGCCAAAGCTCATTGGGCACGTGGGCCCGTACTCACACAAGCATATTACGGTAAATATTCTCAAACTTGATGGTAAGACGAGAACTTTCTAGTTCATTACAGGTGAGATTTCGGATACCTTATAACAGGACGTAAAGAGTTTTTACCGATAAATAATCATGTTAGCCTATAACAGCACATGCCGTCAAGATCTGTGGAAATCTTCAGGCAATCCTGATGATGGATGTGGTGTAAACGACACATCCATCAGACTTGGCTTGGCCCACTGGCAGTAATTGCGTACCACAGGGATGCTCGTCTGCATCTCGACGGAGTCAACATTTAGCGGGATACTTGAGCGCATTACTAGGTGGTTCCCCATAAGTCCTAATATTTGAGACTCCCGCAATAACTATAGGAGGAGCGTACTGCGCCATATGCGTACAACCACCAAACAAACTTTATCGCGCACCGTTATTAAACAAGTGGCACTAGAAATAAAAAAAAGCGTGTGTAAATTTCGCTTATTATCAAATACGACATTTTATCGTCGAGGGCGTACGTCCACCGCCCGCCTCAGCTCGCTCACTCATCGGTGAATTAACGTTGGTCAATTTACGTTCGATTTAGTGTATGTGTTTTCATGACAGCGACTTGAAAACATTTTTCATCCTATTGAGACGCGTTGTTATCCGAAAACCACAGTGAAGTCGTTGGAGGATGTAACATACTTCGATAATTCGTGCCGACCCGGGTAGTTCTCGAAAGGCCTGCAGGAGGCAAAAAATTTGCCTCGATATTGAAAACGTCTCTACGTGCTCCTGTCTTACCCGTTAGAAACTCCGTATCCAATTAAGAACAGCTTTGTTGTAGCTATAGAAAAGCACCTCCGCCCAATCAAGATGCGCAGAAAAATTTTCGGAACCTATATACTCTCCTGCTTGATAGTTGTGAGTTGTTTTCGAAGATTTATAGCGAAATAGACCTCTTGCTTCATTCAGACAGCATGAAAGCGGGCGAGCCTTTGATGTTCTTGTTGACTACAAAAAAAAAACTAAAACAAAACAAAGCGAAGCAAGAATAAGATTTGCAAAGGCGGTGAAGATGAAATCAGAAGCGTTAAGTCAGCTAAACACAAAAGGTAGTGTCTGGCTATTTGAGAGACTAACTGTTTGCCTGAACCGAAAAGCGTACAGGAGCAAACATTAGTCTTGCATAGCAAAAAAAAAAAAAAATGTTGCCAGTCGAGCGTGTCAAGACCACGTTATTAGCTCATTATGGGTAGGTAAACATTAGCACCTCCTAATTGCAAAGAGGTTTGCTACTTGAAATAAGCATCATATAATTAATAATAATAATAATAATAATAATAATAATAATAATAATTAATAATAATAATAATAATAATAATAAATAATAATAATAATAATAATATAATAATAATAATAATAATAATAATATATTATTATTATTATTATTATTATTATTATTATTATTATTATTATTATTATTATTATTATTTTATTATTATTATTATTATTATTTATTATTATTATTATTATTATTATTTTATATTCAACATCATCATGATGGCGCCTTCTTTACAATGCGTCTGTGTCGTCCAGCCTAGATTCTCAACAAAGCTATATTATACTGCCAAATTATAACTATATCTAACGAATACTTACGCTTACATTTGTATGTGTCCGCATCATGCTTGAGCAATGCGTACAGGCCTGATGGCATTGATATAGGAAAAAAGCGGTGATCTACAGTTCGTAAAAAAAAAAAAAAATCCGGAACCATTTTTTTATACATTGCGCTACATTTATTTCCTACTTAACATATCAAGTATACATAAAACACTTATTTAATGTCAACATCGTTAGCTATCATGAACTATAAAAAACGACATCGACAATCCGCGAGAAGCTGCTATTCCCGCTACCACTTTTATTTCTAGGGTAAATGGTTAAAAGTGTTTAGCCATGAAAAATTTTTATTTTTGCTATGCTGAAGCATTGTGTTTTTTTTTCTAATGCTTGCTGTACTCACACTATGCAATGTTTGACTAGTGGTGGCTCGAGGACCGTCGCTCTATTGGTCACGACTGATCTCACTGAGGCGAGCTTTCGTAGTTTGTGCTTCCCTTCTCTAACACGTACAGTCGCCAGCAAGCGTAACACGAACTTTCTGACGCGTAACCTTGACTACTTCGACTGATGCCAGCAGGGAAGCACTGGGCCATGTTGCCGAGATAATATCTCCGTATGCTTAGATAGTAGGTTGCTATGCATGGATAACGTCTAGGCAAAAGAACCCGGAGGTACGCGGCCCTAGTGTCAATCAAACTGTTTCAGGACACGCTGCGGAGCGTCGGAGTTGAGCGTACGGACGACTACATACATGCTCGCGTATCTGTAGAGCGAAATTCAAGAGTCGTAGTGATTCGACATAGAGCTGATATACTTTTTATAAGAGCAAATGACGCAATAACTGTGTCGACACGCTTGCGTTTCCAGTTTGTAGTGTTGAAGAGAGTAAAATAAATAAAAAACAGACGAAAATACCTGCAGTGGGCAATCGAAGTAATGTATGCATGGAAAACGAGGTAATGTGCACATGATGGATGACATTGAGACTCTTCGTTGAATACGTCCTGTTTTAATACTCGTCCTGTTTGTTTGAATTACAATCTCCCTGTGCTTACTTCTTTCACGAGCGGACAGCTGACCAATAAGCCTTCGCATATCACCTGAAGACTTCTGTGGTCTGCCAGAACAAGATTCTACTTTAGGCCAAAAAAATAAAACTGTTCCACCCTCGTGGTAATGGGTAGGAGCGGCACTGACTAACGCTCCCAAATAACGCTCTCCTGGTTTGCATGCACATAGAGATACCTCATAAAGAGGACGGTGGAACGACCACCGCCGTAGTTCATCTGGCACGTTATCTGAAAGTTGTGGGTTCGGTCTCTGCCGGCGGGAAGTTTTCCTTTTCGCCCGCTTTACTTACTTCACATTTGTATCACAATTGTTGCAACACATTCATAGGCCGTGTATACGTCCCCTATATCTTTCTCGGTTTCATTATTTGTTGGTTCTCATTAAGATCCGGTCAATGATGAAACATGGAATAAAACGTTTCTATCGTCCGTATAAGAAGCATATTCGAAAACGCATGTGGTGAAAACTCGTGAAAAGTTTGTAAAATTGTTGAACAGGTAAGCGGTACAATTCGCAAAGCTCCCACACTCTCCTGAATTTCTGCTGGGGGAATAGGGGTGTGGCCAAAACGAAGATTTTTTTTTGTTTTACTGCAGAAAGCATCAATATATGGTAGATAGCAAGATCGGTTGAATTTCGAGAAATGTATACATGCTTTAAGAAAGTGCTGTTTGAGCTGTACATTGAGCGTTGTTGAGAAAGCGTTTTCTAATATGCGGATTCATTCGTGCCGCAGGGTGTGCTCGTTCACGAAGTCGACGAAGGACAGCCCTGCCTGACCTGCAAGGACAAGTGTCCTGGTTTCAGTCCACACCTTTGGAGGTGAGTGGTGAAAAAGACAGTACGGCACCTTCGTTTCATTCAATGAGAGGTAAAAAATCAATAAATAAATCAACCAATCAATCAATCAATCAATCAAACAAACAAACAAACAAAAGATCATTCATATGTGTCCGGCGCTCTGTATTTAGGCTTCACATGTCTTCGGGACAACGTTGCTATCAGATAAATGGTCACTGCATAATAATATGGCATTTTTGTGGCAATTACAAGTGGTACGTTCAGTCGCTTTTCGTATATCAAATTTATGGCACTGCAGTTTGCATTTATCGATGGAAACTGAACCAACCACCGTGTGTGATAATCGAAAGAAATGGGCCAGGTGTTTTCACACGAATGAGAAAGTTTTAGAAGGCAAGTCTATAGACACGACACTTAATCCACCGTGATGGCTCAATAGCGGTCGCGATGGCCTTGACTTGCTATGCTCAAAGTTGTGGTGCTCCAGCCTATAAATGCGGCTCCTGCATTTTTGTACGGGCCGGACTACAAACATACCGGTGTATCGTGATTTAAAAACATGATAAAAAACCCTTAGGTCAACCAGCAGACTGCAACGACGGTGCGACTCATGATCAGACTTCAATTTTGGCATGGGGGACTCAATAATATCAATTTGCATGGGCATAGAATAAATAACCATATCCATATTCTAGGGACTGTCCCTTATGACGGTTCTCTGTTTCATGCCTGCGGTTTTTTCGCTTTACGTAGATGCCGTAATTCTGACTTTTATTATTATTATTATTATTATTATTATTATTATTATTATTATTATTATTATTATTATTATTATTATTATTATTATTAATCTTATTATTATTATTATTATTATTATTATTATTATTATTATTATTATTACTGCTGCAATATGCGACATTACCTGTGGTTTTCCCCGTCGTTTGACAGGCACTTAAAGCTGTGCCATCTGTCGGCCTGCTAGCTCAGTTGGTTAGAGCGTCGTGCTAATAACGCGAAGGTCGTAGGTTCGATCCCTGCGCAGGCCATTATTTTTCCTCCTTGCAAATGTTTTCTTTCACCATTACGTTGATGATAATTGAAATTTCGGATGGTTACCGTTAGCGATAAGCTTCTTTTTTTTATTGGCAGCGTCAAAATTCTGCATTTGCATTCTCTCTCCCTTTTCTGTGTCTCCACTTTGTTGCTTTTGTTTTCGGCTGGTGGCAGTGAGGTAGCCGACCGGAGAAATTGAATAACCGGAGGTATAAACAAAATTGCTGCCGTGACTGTTTTTTCTCAGTATCAACAACACAGGAAAGTTAGGCGAGCGTAAACCGGGAGGGGGCATTCGAAACAGACCAACCCAAACTACCAACCGGGCCAACCGTCCACTTTGAAGTTTGTGTACAGCATCGGATAGCAGTCTATAGTGTGCTATAGCAATGGCGTGGGAAAGGGAAATGCGCGTAAGCAGGAAGGCAAAGGGGAGGTGGAGGCTAGAGTATAGCACAGCCGTGCTTAGTACAGTATAGCAAGGAGGTGGGGAAGAGAAGCGAGGGTGAGGATCGCGGAAAAGGAGGAGGGTAAAGCGTGGGACAGCCGTGTATAGCAGCTGCGCCGTACTTGCTCCCTTAAGGGCTGCAGAATTTAGTCGCCTCTACCTGCCTTTAACCAGAATCACCATATCAGGGGCGCTTGAAAAGCAAGTCACGGTGAGGAGGAAGGCTCGGAGAAAGGTGAAGGTAAACCGCGGCATTGCCATTTATAGTGTATACTCGTAAAGCGTGGTGAAGTGTTTGTGAAGAGGATCGATGAATGAAGGTGGTCTTTACGGCCCCTCAAAAATTGAGTCGCCTGTTCAAGCTGTCCGTTCCTCCGTCCAGACCCACCGTCGGTTGCACTACAAAACATGCAAATAAATTCAGAGATTGCATCTGTAATGTGGTGTATCAGCTGCTGTTATTGCGTGGAAGGTATTATGTCGGTCAAACAGGTCGTTGTACAAATGAGAGGCTGAGGGAACATATGTACAATGTGGATCACTATACACAAGGATGGCTGTCCGTTCACAGTGGCACGTGTGGCTGCCGGCCAATATTTGCAGAGTGTTCTATTGTTGCTAGATGCAGGGATCGTACCACACACGAGATCATAGAGGCAGAAATGATTTGCTCATTGAAAGATGCTTGTGTTAGCACCCCTTCTGTCGCGCTCACTGATAAGGAAAAGTTGTTCCTTTGCTTGTCAATGTGATGTACTTATGCATTGTCATTGTGTTTCGCGCATTACTAGTGCGATTGGTAACTGTATAAAAGCGAATACCTTCACAAGAAATAAATTGTTGGCAGTTCAGCACTCTATCTCGTCTCTTCTCCTGTCCCCTTCTGCCGTGTCGTTTGCGCTGTCAAGCACCCTTTATGATGTTATACCAACACGCCCAATCCTACTGTCTCTTGGGTGAGGAGAAGAAGGAAGGTAGAGAGCGCCACTGCACCGCAAATGAAGGCCTACTTTCCTGCCACTGACGCCTAGAAGGCTCTGAGTTTGTTCAGTAGTGCCGGCACTCGTTTTCCCGCGAGGGCGAGTGTCGCCGAGGGGGAGGCAAATCGCTGCCTCGTTCTTTTTACAGCTTTCACATTGAGCGTAACTGCATGTACTTTTTTAAAGACGATAGCCTATTTTGGGATACTTCGACGCAAAAATTTCGGTCTGCCTGTATGTAGATTTGCCTGTTTGCCCGCTGCAACGATACCCCAAACGGCCAACCCTATCCACAGTGCCCGCCAATATTGCTAAATTATCAGCGTTCATACTTGTGCGATGGTCAACTGAAAACCAACTATTGTGCATATTTGAGGTACCATAACAACACGTCAATATTCAGTATGTGTGGCTTTATACTAGAGAGAGCATACATAAGTAATTCTAAGGACCGTAGCGTTTATCACGCCGCACTGACAATGCAACGCGATGCTCAAAAAAGGCGACTGTTTCCAACGCTTTGTTAAGACGACATGGTGGTGGAACCTGCCCGTCGCTTTGCGTTCTACACCTTATCGCCTCCGAGACAGGTGTGCACGCCTTCCTTCGTTTTCGAAGATAACTGCCAGAGAGTGCTCGTGTCTAACGTGCCTCGATGCTCTCGTTCGCCTTCGCTGCACGGATTGAGACACTCAACGCCTCCAGAATATCATTCACAGATTTTCTTGCGCAAAACATCAAATAAACGTTTTGTTCACTCTCTCCAGGCCCAAGACTATCGTCTATCGGCGACATTTGTAGTGAAGCATGCCAATTTCTTATACTTAGAACCATACCCTCCGTGGTCCGCAACACAGAGCGCAACCGGTTTCACTGTCGTACGCCGTAAAAAGCACCGTAATGCCCCAACTTAAATGGTGCAGCCGGTCTGTCCGAATACCGCTCTCAATGGATAAAAAAATCGAAAGAATTGGAGAAAAATAAGGGACAACGACGTCAGAACTACCCTCAGCTTTCTTTATTGGTACCAGCCTTATGCTGTTTTGAGATGGTCATTGTTGCGTTTTGGTTTCAACGCTAAAAGGTGTGTTGAGAATAAGAGCCACCCACTCAATAATGTCAGATCTCTATTCTATGCGTTTCTAGCAAGAAAAGAAGAGGAGAAACAGTGTTTCTGAATAATGAGTAGATTATGACCAGCCAGAATCTTGGACCGGTCTCCCTGAGCGGGTACCTGCTGACCATTCAAGGAGCATGATAACCATCATATCGCCTATCAGTCACAGCTTGCCTATATTCCAAACCTAGATTGCGATATTTCATCAACGTATTTGTCTTTTTTTATTGTATTTCTGACAATGCTGAAGTCGTCCTGTCACGGTAATAAAGAAACACTAAAGCCAGGAATGATTTTCCGCCTGTTAATAATTTACCATTCGGCATTAGACAAAACACCACTCTTTTCGATGGAAGACGTTTACTATAAGCGTGAAAATGCCCGAAAGAAAATGCACGCAGTGATGACACCTTGAAATTTCCACACCAAACGCAGTCACATCATAGATTTCGACATCGTCTACATGGTCATGCTTAGTTCCTACTTGGCGAAAATGGAACACGTTCTCCTTTAAAGGGGCCGTAGATTTTCGCCACTGTTCTCAAAATACGTGAAATGCACTTAGATAACGGCAGGCACGCAATTTAAAAATGAATAATTGTCCTTGAATTTCTCCTATAATAAAAATTTTACGAAGGTGAAATTAGTGACTTTAGAGTTCTCAGAAAAGAACTTTTCAATCTAAGCTGAATCATTGTTTCCACTTAGTGTGCCTTTATTCTCGCAGGTAAACTATATTTTGCCCGACAAATAATTACATCTGCCTTTTCAACCGACAAATATAAAAAAGTCAGTACGCCACCATTGTTGTGTATCCTCGTGGCATGTGTGTGATAGTGTTCATCCATGTGAATTATGAGTTGACTCGATACCGAATGGCTGTATATTTACGTGGAGCAGCTGTTAGATCCCTGCAATGAATTCATTAGAGGCTATTCATACGCTCTGGACGCCCGAGTTGTCAGCGTGAGCTGTTTTCAACCTCGTCCGCTAGCTTCCCTGGCAGCTGACCGCTAGAGTACCGTGTTTTCCGTGCAAAGACGGACGGGTAAATGACCGGCTGAACTTACAGTCAAGGCCAGCGGGAAGGTCGCTGCTCGGCTGGCAAACTCGGCTCAGGCTGCCGGCGATGTTCGGTGGGCACGGCTGAATGCGTGCGTTCCTCGTGCGACGTAAAGAGCCGCAATGGCTTATTTGCATAATTACGCCCCACTCACCCTTAGGACGCTGCCGCGGCGGAAGTGTGCGTAGTCTTCTGTACATCGTTCACGCCTTTCGAAACTTTTCACACAGCTCTGCTGGTTGGCGTAGGCTTTCTTTACGATGAAGGTCACGTTGACATGATTGCCGTACCAAAAAGAACGCTATGCGTACGTTTTCTTGTATTATGTGCAATAATTACACGCCCCACCGTGGTGGTCTA